AACAGCAGGGAAGGAAACGTTCTGCTGCTCCCTGCAACTGTCCCCACCTTGCAAGTCCATTTTCTAAAACAGCTTTCCTGGGCATATCAAAAAGCTGTGCAGGTTAACTGCATTCCCACAAATCAGTTACTTGATTGGTCTTGGGTAGGGATCTGAACCGATGTAGTACAGCTCAACCCACGCACATGTAGTCACCTCCCAGAATGAAAAAGGACAGGCCGCTATTATAAGTCTTCATAAGACTGTAATCTTCCTTTATGGAAATGAGCTGCTTAAGCTACGTGTACCTGAGCCCCAGTTCCATCTCTGGTATATTTGACATCTGCCTTTTGTACTTTGTAATACAAACTCCCTTCTCACGAATTTTAAAATATGCATGGGATTGTGTGGGGGGGTATGCAGAGTGGGATTCAGAGAATTGTAGGGTCACAAGGACATTCTGATCTGGATGGCTGGGGAAGGGGAAATTCCAGAAAAATGTGTCAAGTGGTACTGGGCTTGCAAGAACAAGGAAGCATTTGTAAAAATGGCGCCATGAAAGCTTTTTCTAGCAGGGAGAGTTTGCTGTATCCCAGTGTCTGCCTCCAAGGAAGGTCCCCAAACAGAAAACCTAGGGACTGAGTATTTATGACCAGACATACACAAATAACTAGACTTCTGTTGGCTTCTAATCCCACGCAAAGTGTTTGTGGAAGCAGCTAAAAGATATCCGTTGCCTCTTCTTCTGGGGTATGTCCAGACCAAGAATTCTATCCTGAAGGAACTAGAGGCCTGGTATTGGATTCAATTGAGAATGGATACTTTGAGTACTGTGTTTTCTAGGAAATTAACTTAGCAGAAGAAAAGGGGTCCATGCCATATTTTTAGAAATCATAGTTTCGCAGAGAAGATTTCAGATCAAATAGAAAACAATGTCATCAGCCTTCCAAGCAGGAGCCTTTTATCCCCATCCCATCCCACTTGGGAATCTGCTGTCAGTCTTCTGTCGGTTCATCTTCCAGCAGCTCTTGGAGGAGCCAACTAGCTACACACAACATCCAGATGCTGGCTTTTGGAAAACTTGGTGCATGCATCTTCCCTTCTTCACAGTCATGTTCCAAGTTGTGATGCCAGTATAGCATATACAGTAGTCTCTAATTTTTTGAAGCAAAAGCTTCCGAGCTGTCCTTTCATTTTCTGGAATTGTGCAGCTGTACATCCAAACAAGTTTGACCTCACTATGCTAATTAGGGGGCTTTCCATCCAGTTCTGCAAGTCTTGGCTTTATTTCCATCCCCAGGTGGCCGCAGTTTGGTGCCTTTGGTTCTTCAGAAGTTTATTGGAGGTCACAGTTATAATTTAGTATCCCTCTTCTGACTTGTTTGTTCTTTGCAGCCCATTGTAGTCTCTTTATGGCCAATTTGTGGGATGTTTAAAAGACTTCAGAAGTAAGACTTCGCTGTTGTCAGTTATGGCAACAACTGAACAAAGCTGCATGTATAGAGAGGAAGAACCATGTACATGTGGTATACAGAGAAGATATTCTTTCTGCAGTTGCTACTAAACAAGCCATGTACTGTAGAATTAGAAAGTGACCCACCTCTTTTTAAAACAATAACCCCTCATCTCTCTCCAGTGTAGCAATGGGCAGTTGCGGTCCTCCAGATTTTTCCCTCAACAATTCCCAACCATCAGAGCCAGCACTGAAGAATTATGGGTGTTTCAGTTCTGTGACATTAGAAGGGGCCTCAGTTGTCTATGTCTGTTCTAGTGCGTATGCAATAATGTGGATGAGAAGGAGTCCGTTTCTGAATAACTGTAACTTGTCCTAGTTTGGATGTTAATTTCTATATGCAAAAGGGAGAAGTCAGAGCCCATGAGCCTGAATATTACTTCTTATACAGTACTAGCATATATATTAGGAAGGAGTGTGGTTTTAAAAGGGTTTATATCAGGATAACATCGCTATACGGGGCACCACTGTATATCAGGACTAGAAAATATATAAACATTGTTTCTGTTGAACCAATGTCAAAAGTATATGTGCTTCCAATGAAAGGCTTTGACGGCTTGTCTCTGTGCTTGGCACAATATCCAGATTTCCTTAAGCAACAGAATACAAGTTTTGAGTAGTGTGAGTACTTCAACTCCTCATTTTAAATTTTTAATTCCTATGGTTATTGTTCCATGTTTTCTTACTGTTGGACAATGTTCCTAAATTTTAAAAAAAGTCCTGAACTCAACGAACCAATGTCAAAAGTATATGTGCTTCCAATGAAAGGCTTTGACGGCTTGTCTCTGTGCTTGGCACAATATCCAGATTTCCTTAAGCAACAGAATACAAGTTTTGAGTAGTGTGAGTACTTCAACTCCTCATTTTAAATTTTTAATTCCTATGGTTATTCCATGTTTTCTTACTGTTTGACAATGTTCCTAATTTTTTTAAAAAAAATCCTGAACTCAACACTTTAAGCAACATGCCTGATACATTTTTAAATTAAAACTGGGTTTGTAACCTCCCCCCCCCACAACACCTAAAAATCAGAACCTTGTATGTAATCCTCTGTTTTTCCAAAAGGAACATACAGTTTATAACCCATGGTGGCAAATGCTGGATCACATTTCCCAAAAGGATCACAGATGGTTTGGTTATCACAAGACTTCAATTAAAGGAAAGCTTTCTAAGTCCAAATATTCCAGAAAGTTTTGGGGGTTTTCTTTTCCCCCATGTTACTAAAACCTCCTCAGTGACTAATTTTTAAATTTCTAAAATATTGTGAGTGATAAAGTTACCAGTGAAAAAGTATGCCAAGTAGTGCTGGCTTTGCATTGAAAAATGGCAACTTATATATAAACTTGCATATTTTGAAAACATATAGGAATATGCATTTAAAAACCTAATTGCGCTCCTTGCTTTAAGATCACTGGAAATTCCTTGAAGTGGTGGTTCTCATTTATGGAAATTTATGTTTGGTCTGAATGTCATCAGAGTCTGGCGAACAATTCTGTGGAGCATGGTTGAACAGTGTAATTGAAAGGCAGCAGCTTTTGAAGCCAAAGAAACACTTCACCACATAATTCAGAAAAAGAAAATAGAAAAAGGCCATGTGGTCCTTAAAATAATGCAAAGGCAAGAGCAGGTGATACTTTTATTAGACCCCTAAAACCTTGAACAAACAGCTAGCTTTCAATAATAATTCATCTTCCTCAGGCTGTGCACCAGATTTTGTGATTAGTTCAGAAATATATATATACATGAGAGTCCCCAAAACCTATGGCAGATGTCTGTACCAGGTCTGCTTTTTGAGGTGTGTTCAAAAACTGGCTGCAAGCAGCTTTTGATGGGGATGGTTTCAAACTTTACGCCAGGTGCTATTCAGCTGAAAATTTCCTCCTAGCTCTTCAAACAAAGAGCCCACCACCATCACCACAGAGTGTATCTTTAGCCTATGAAACTTATATTCAAGGAAATTAAGATGACCACAAAAACTGGAAACAAATAAGAATGTTACAATGGCCATGTTTTAACTCCTGTATTTGTAGTTTACTTTGAGCTATCAGATGCAGAGTACGTAGTAACAATAGAGATTAGCCATTGTGGTCATAACTTGCTTAAGAACAGAAGAAATGGTCAACAGAATGCTGAGGGAGATGGTCCCTTTCCCCCCCTGGTCTGACGGTGTAATTTGTGTACTTATGAAAAATACATGAATCTTTGCTTTAGCATTTTATTACAGTCCGCTAGCAATGTCTGGCAATTTCATATCCCTGAAAGATGCCAGTAATTTCATAGCCACATCCAGATTTCTTTTCTTGCTCTTCCATCTGCAAACAGAATAAACTTCTGGCTGCCACAGGATGAGGGAGAGAAATGTAGGGGTGGGTAAGATGTAAGTACTCTAATTATAGCGAAAGGAAAGAAAGGGGCTGCCTTCAAAAAGCATTCATACAGTTTGACTCACGTCTTCACTTTCCTCACACTGGCTTTTCAGTAAGTGTGATGGCCAGTGAAAGCCTTCTACAATGTAATTGGTTCATAGTAGTGAGCACTCTCACTGGCAAAGGCCAGTACAGCTGACCATGGAACAAGCAAGTGTAAGACAGGCTTCAGCAGTGAAAGACAGTTTAAATGAATCATTATTTGCTATTTTTAAAGGAGTCCTCCAAGGGCTCTAAACTTTAACGAGACTACTCATGACATTACTTCTCTTCTGGAATTTTCTTCATGGTGAGGGAAGTTGCTTGGGTGGGTGCTTGAATCGACGGCCTACACTTAGAATAGAATTCTAGACATAAAATACTATTCAAATGTATTTTAGGGTTCCATTGCATTAGACCAGGGATCTTCAAACTACGGCCTGCAGCCACATCTGGCCCGCCTTACTGTTTTACCCAGCCCATTCCCTTCAACCCATGTGTATGGGGGGGGGGAGGCAGGCATCCATGTGTGTCAGTAGGAGGGTATGGGTGTGTGTGTGGGCATGTGTGTGTCCGTGTGGGTGGGAGTGGGGGTGCGGGCGGGGGGTGCACGCATGTGTGGAACCATTCAAGTTCCTTCAGCCCTCAAAAATGAAAATATCCGGTGTGGCCCCCATCAAAAGTTTGGAAACCCCTGCATTAGACAAACATTCTGAACACAACAACTTCCTTGCTATTTATCCCAATCCAGATGGTGAGATCCGGCCTTTAACTGAAGTGATACCTACAAACACAATTTTAGATATGCTTGCAATTCATTTCTGATAGTGTACTTTGTAAGATATAGAAGTTCAGAACACTTTTGGTGATGAAATAACTGTTGGCAAAAGATTAACAAAGTGCTCTTCTATAAAGGTAAGATTTCAGTTGGCAAAAGACTGATGTTCAAACATTCATGTATTTGGTGTATGGCAATGAAACTACATGTGGCTTCTTGTGTTATTCTGAACTCGAAGAGAAAGTCTCAAGATATAGACAAATATCTAAAATGTACAATTTTAAAAGAACCACCCATATTTAATGCACTGTCTTTTCTTTTTCAGGTATACACTTACAAACAAAGGTCAATTACACACCAAAAAGTAACAGCTATGCAGACTGCAGGCAAAGAAGGTTTAGAAGACATGGCAGCACTGATAGACCTCCATGAGGGCGCCATAATGCATAACCTATTCCTGCGATATCAGCAAAACAAAATTTATGTAAGTTTATTTCAAAGAAGAAAGCTTTGGGTAATGTTTTCAAGTCAGAAATTCTACAGATTTGGATGTTTTCCCTGCCAGAATATATATGAATTAATATTTAATCACATGAATGTTATCTTGTGAAGCTGTGAGGGGTTTATGCAAAATTTTTGCAAAGGTGCTTGTGTAAAATGTGTGATGTGATGTCAGAAACATTGTGTAGTTAAGGCATTGACTCTTTTAAATCACACTGGCTGAAATACTGTTGCTTAACACAGCACGTCCATTGAATGAGTGGGGATTGGATGAAAACTCCTTTGTAAGTTCGATTGATTCAAATGGGCCTACTCTTATTGAGATTTACTACCACGAAGTAAGTCACAACTACAGTAAGCCCATTAAATCAATGAAATGTGTGGAGAAGTTGACTCTCCGGATCCCCACTGATGCAGTGGGCCTAGTCCAGTGTGACTCATTAAAATAAGTAGCAGACTTTCAACAATAATGTTGCAAGATATCAGAGGTCATCTAGGATAATGATCTGCCCAAAGATAGAGCTATTGTTTTCTTTGAATCAAAATCAATTTTAATTACATTTTAGACCATCCTGCACTGTGCATGCACAAACTGTGCTTATGGATTGAAGTAAGGTTTCTCTTAGCTCTTTTATAAGAGTACTTGCAGCTGAAGGGTCCTTAGAAACAGTGAATCTAGGACTTGAGGCTATTCAGTTTACAATATTCTGGAAGAAAGAAGAGGCAACGTAGAATACTGAAAGGTCTTAGAAAACTAGTCCGTCCAGTATTAATGGTTGTTGAATATGTACGTGTGATTAAAGGTTATGGGTTTGGTCCAAGATCATCATCATCTTAGAACTGGAGAGCTCTCTTCCTGCTCAGCTAGCTACTCCAGGCAAGGGGAGGAGGATAAGTCTCCCTACACAGCTGCCAAGTGGCCAGGCGAGCAGGAAGAGAGCAGTGCTCTGGGTGCGATTAGAAGGATGTGTGAGGCTGCCATTGCTGGATGCAAGAGTGGGGATATTCAGGGGCCAGGCCCTCATTAACTTCAGCTGCATGGGGATATTCGTATACAAATACCCCCATCTCTACTTATAAATCATCAAGTCCAGCCCCTATCAAGGAAGCCCAGTGGGGAATCAGAGTACTAAGGCTACACAGCCAGATAGCTAACTAACTGAGCTATCTGCCTTTCATGGATGAAGGGGGATCAGCTCATCAATAATGGTTCTAGGGATTCATTCTCCCCCAGCATCATAGCTTACTCCATTCTGCAAGGTATGCTTACCTTCTCAGTAGCATCTTCAAGATGTTGGAGGGGCTTCCATGAAAGAAATGGGTGGGGACTCTGCTTCTGTGACACCAGCTGTGTGTTTAGATTTAAATCCAATGTTTAATTGTATAATGTATAATGTAATGTTTAAATGTATAATGTTTAAAAAGATATCTAAAATCATAGTTTCATATGAATCCATATTTTATGCACGCTGCTCTTCAGACATGCTAAAATTTAGTCAGTTAAGAATTTTTAATGCCTTCAGGTTTTTCTCGTTAAATCTAACATGTGCTAATTCGTTGTATGTTTACTGGTTTCAAAAGTAATAGGGAGGTGTTTGTTCAGCTATCATGTCTTGAAATCTTTTCAAATATTCTGATAAAAATAAAATAAAGGCCAATATCCTCTTGCTTAGGTATGCTATTAGAAAGGAGGTGGTGTAACACTTGATGGGAAATTGCCTCTAATTAAGGATTCCCCACTTAGATTCCTTATTGTGCCTATATCAGGCATCCAAGCAGGGACTAATTAAATCAGGGGCAATTTGCCAGTATTATACCATTTGTTTTTTGTTAGCATAACTTCTAAAGATTTGGACCAAAGTTTTGATTTTCCTTTGTTGATCCACCCACAAGCAGTAATAATATATTTGCTTCTAGTGTCTTTCTGGCTACTGGAAGACTGTCCCAGATACTGTATTAATAAAGAATCAAAGAAATTAACTAAGATACTGTACTGTAAACTTTTGTTTACTTAATTGAAAGTCATATAAACATGTTCAGTAAAATTTCCATCTGCTTAGGTCAATGAGATGTTTTTTTTTTCTTTCTAATCTATAATTCCCCAGAATTGCACATCTCTTGATGTGTTGGTCTGGTCTCCTTATCTTCTCCTCCAAGACTCTTTCTGAAATGTTATTCTTCTCCTGTTTCTAATCCATTTTTCTAAGGCTCGCTTGCTTAACTTTATATGATGTCCTTTCAGGTTTCTATTTTGACTATTTATTCATAATTCTGGACTCACAGAATTCAAATGTCATTATGATCCAGTGCTTTCAGCAGAGCCAGGTTGTGCAGTTGTGAGCCATGTTAAACATTCTTAGACAGTTGGAACATACATGAAAATGATGCCACGTGGCATGTTCCTTTTCAAAGTTCTAGCCAGCTAGGCATACTCTTTTTCAGGAGACTCCATTTCATGTTCTCTCTCATTCAGTCCCCCCCCCTTTTCCAACAGTCATTAAATGACTGGTGAACATGCTTAGTCTATTTTGGTCTCTTTTGGAAGTTGCTGCGTGTGTGGTCTCCCCACCCACCCCCCTTTTGTTGTTGCATTTGTACAGTTGTTTCCCTGAGTTTGTTAATACATCAGTCATACATTGGACAGCACTATTTTGGCTACCTAAGGATCCATCTCAGACAGTGGGTTTGCTTTTAATATGTTGCTTAAACAGTTGGCAGCAAGGGAAGTACTAAAAGCCTATTTGCTAAAACACTGTCGGAAATTTACATGCTTGTTTTTATTTAGTCCAAGGTTAAAGATAAAACCTTTGCTTGAATTTTAGCATGATGCATCTTTGAGATCTTACCGCTAAACAAGAGAGAACAGTGGCAACCTGTGTTCAGATCAATGTATTAGTCGTATATTTATTCCACCCCTAAAGTACTGTATACATAGGCCATTTGAATGGGACCTTTAAAGGTGGACTGCTGCAACCTACAGTAAGATGCCCGCTTTCAACATACTCCAGTGAAGTCTGTGTTTGCAAACGTGGCCAGATGAGACTGTTACTTGAGAAGCTTCATCTAAACCAAAGCAAACATGTGCATATAATGAGATGGCCAGTTGAAGGCTGTAATTTCTCAGCATTCGAAAGCCCAGTTCCAAAATTAGATGTGCCGGTGGTATGGTGGTTATGTGGCTTGTTTTATCAAAGAGAGGGGGGCATGTTGCTTGGCTCAGTTGAGATTATCCTTTCTGAGACTCTTTAGACTTACATGGGAAAGTTTGGAGAAGAGACCTTAAAACCATGCAAGTATACATATGTAATGTACCTAAAATCAAGGGCATTCAAATTATGGTGTGGGAGTTGGCTCTGGCTGTGCTTGCCTCCCACATGTCTCAGAAAGTCAATTTCTTTTGGCCAATATAAGCTGAAAGAAGGTCAAAGCAGAATGAAAGGGAGCTATTTAAGAACAGTGAGTGAGAGCTAAAAATAAAACCATTAAATAAATGTGTAAGCTCACACATGAACCCTCTGTGATGCAATGCTGAAAGCATCCCCATTTAACGCATTTGCCCTTTTGAGCATAACTGAGAAATTTGCTTTTCTTTCCCCTTTTTGTTTTCAAGAGAGCTCTGAAATAGCCAAATTTTTCTTTGCTATGGGCACTCTTTAATGGCTTTCTAAGGCATGTGGTAATGATTCATATCAATGATGATTTATTTATCTCAGCCATCGCTGACATGTTAAGAGTTTTCTCGTGTTCATGGTGTCCATTTGCTTGGAATTATCAGTGGGTTGGGATTCTTTTTGATTTACACCTACTTTCTCAGTTCATGTACAGAGGAAGAAGCTAAAGGAAGAACGAGGGCAGGGTATTTTTTTAACTCCTTCATTGTCTCCAATAATGGTATTTCTGAGCAATAAATAACGCCAATTTTTGTACCTTTTATGTTGAGTAAGCTGATTCAACAAGTCACAAAGCAGCCAGCGATTTGAACATTGGAACCTCATTGTCACCTAAATTGTGTCCTAGAATCAGTTCCACAGCAATAAGAAAATTATTTCTTCAGGAACAGATTGAGATACAGATTGAGACTAATATGGAAACTCTGTTATCCCTGTGGCTCTTGCTTTGCATAGTGAATTTCCATTTTGTGGCAGGATCAGCTGGGGTTGTAGGAGGTTTCAGGGAGGCAGACTGGAAGAGAGTAAGAAGAAGCAAACAAATGAAAGGACCCAGGCAGAGGAGAGAGAGAGGGGGAGGGAGGGAGGGAGGGAGGGAGAGAAAGCAGGGGATCTAGACTGGAGGAACCAGGGACAAGAACATCAGCAGCAATGCCAGGTGCAAATAGGATATCTGTTTGTGGGTTCAGTACTGCCATAGGCAGAGGTAGGTAGGTAACTCCCTTAGAAACACGATGCTGCTGATGGATTGTTCTTCAGCTCCTAGCCACTTCCTTCTATTCGGAGACAGAGCTATATACGCCACACAGCATCCCTGGGGCCCACAAAGCTAAACTTGTGGGTTTTTAAAATATCACAGCTGCTAATCCACCAGATTCTCTGCATGGACTAAGGGGTGGTGTCATCATTTTGCCCTTCATCTCGGGTAGTAAAATATTTTGGGCTTGCCCTGCATATTAGTGTTGACACTCATGAGCTGAGTTAGCTAAAGCCAATCTTTTATGATTAACTTTCCATACATATTCCTGCAATTTTTTGGTTACCTTGTTAGTTGGTCACAATTTTATTCAAACATTCTAGGCAGGAGCTATATTCTGGTTTTCTTGTTTTATATCTGAGAAACTGTCATGGAGCTTGAATTAGTCTAGCAAAATTTGAATAGTATATTGCACATTTTTTATCAGATTTAATTGGTCTCCCATTTGCTTTATTTCTTCGTTTTGGTTTAGTAAGCTCTTCTAATAACACTTGATCTGTCTAATTATAGCATACTTTTCTGTCTAGCCTTATTCTCGAGAGATGCACTGTAGGAATTAATACCTTCACATTTAATTATCAATGAAACAGTGAATTGTCTTGCTCTTTCCTGGATTCTAGCCTAATGCCGAAAAAGCTTTCGAAATTAAGGTCAGTAGGTCTGTTTGCCAATCTTTTACTTCGGTGTCTACATTCTAGGTGTTGGCTTAGTCCTTGTAAAACAAGAGGTGACCCAAAAGTTCTTAAATGTCTGTGGAGAGAACCTAACCCTATATTGGAAGAGTCAAAGTGTTGACTGTCTCACTGAAGCCCCCTACGTCCCTCTCTCCCCATGTCATGCAAAACATTTTGTGCTCCCTTAAAACCATTAAGTAATTTTTCTTCAGTTGCTCAAATTTGCTAGGTTTTTTTAATTGTATCTATAGCATTTCTAGTCTGCCTCAGGTCTGTAGTTGTCTGGGTATTAGACAGGTAAATTAAAAATACCCAGTAAATACATTAAAATGTCAGATAAATTTCTGCTCCATAGTTACACCACTACAAGGGAAATAGCATAATGTGTAATGCTAGTTGCTGCTGAGTAATAAATTTTTGCTTGGATTCTTGGTTGTGCACCATGCCGCATGAATGGCACACAGTGAGGAAGATGATTATTAAATTGTTAATTAGTAGCAATTTACACTATTTCCCTTCCCTCAACATAACTATGGAAGAGACCATTACAGTAAGGGAGGGAGGAATCTTTGAGAGCTGGTTTGGACAGTTATGGCCAGTAATTGAACTGCAACTCCCATAGTCCTTCACAATTTACTGTGCTGACTTCTTCATCCTTCTCAGAACAGAAGCTCTACATCCAAAGTATCTTTGTTCAAAAAAATTGAATCTTGCAGTTTGTTGACCCATAGTATCTGCTTTATGATCATTTGTCTCAACATCCACAACAGAGCACAGGGCAGCAGCCCATAGCATGAACTGGCATGTGATACTCTTTCATCACAATTTAATGAGGCCATACCTTAATAACTATAAATGCAACTGATAGTTTATCCTGCACTAAGGTGCAATTACAGTGTAATGTTGTTCCATTTTAATTACTAGAGAATGGAATTAATTATAAATAATTTGTTACTTGTTAACTAGTTACCTCCAAGTTTGAATTGTATTAGTTGTATATGAGGAATACACTCTCTGTAGTTAACTACCTCCCTACTCCTTTTTGCACTTTTGTTGAGAGATTTCTTTGCAACTTGCTGTGAAATGGGCTCATGGGAAAAGAAAAAATATTCCTTTTGTGCGAAATTACATTAACTTGTGTTTGTTTTTCAGAAGAAGGTTTTAAATAGGTTGCCTGCCCCATATTGTATGGTGAGGTTTGTGAGCTCTTGTGTAAACACAAAACATGATTACAGGGTTTGAAATTTCCATAACAGAAATGATCTGACTGGGTAGAAGGTTCTTGGAACATATAATCACATTGACATGTTAAAGTGTTGCTTTAAAAAAAAAAAGACATTTGGGCCTCAGACCTTTAACATGTAATTTAAGGACAGAATTGGACCCAGTCCCTTACAAATTAGCATGAGACAAACTGAAGTGCAGGCTGTGCTGACCACAGCTTCAATAAGTCATGGCTGCTAGCATACTTGTGACTATTTAATTTTAGGGTAGAACAAAAAAAAAAACTACAGGGCAAACTGCTCGTGTCTTCCTTTTTGCTGACTTCTGTTCTGCTGCTGATCTACTTGGCTTGTAAAGCCACAGGAAAAACAATGGGTTTATGGTAGCTGGGCAAAATAAAAAGCTCAAGAGGAAGGCACAATGCAATACACACTGCAACAGGGGCTGTTTTATCCATGCATCTGAACCTAGAATGAAAAAGTGAACTTCCCTGTTCAGGTGCAGCTTGCCGTGTTACTGGTGTACCAGCTGTCATTTTAATGCCTGTTTTGTGAGTTTCCCAGAGGCCTAGGACAGAATCTAAACAAAACTTTTCAGAATTTTCCTGGGCCATGATATCACATCTTCTGAAATGTCTACTTATCAATATATTTCTTTATATAGATGGTGGGAGTGGTGGCCTTTGCTGCACAGAACTAGTATGTCAGTTCTTTGGGTCTTTGCCAAAGTTCTGATATATAGACGAACCCTTCCTCTAATCCAGTGGCCCACTGAGTATGTGTTTTGAAACCTGAAGTTCAGTAGTGCCAAAATTAATATAAACTTCTTCCTATTATCTGTAGCACTTCAGAAGTACAGTCCCCCATTTTTTTTCAGCACATGTGGCAGACATTGGCTTTGAGTGCAGGCGTTTATTTGAAGTAAAAGTCTTGAAGAATTTGTGCAGTGAGGCAATTGTAAGATTATGTACAGAGTCTTCTATATAGTTAGCAAGCAAGAGAGCTGCCAGTGACATATTTCCCATATTTTCAAGCTATCTAAGTGGTTTGGGAGGCAGGTGATATTGTGGGTTCTTTCTGCAAGTCTGATTTTTTGACTGTGCAGTATTTAAGAATAAATGGGGAAAATAATGTGAAGGCATTCCTGACAATAATTTCCACATTGTTTGCACAGTTGTAAAAATAACATGCAAGTACTTCTTTCTCTTCAAATAAAGATCACGCACCGAAAAGTTTAGCTTTGGTTGTTTTTTTTTCTTTTTCTTTTTTTCTTTATGTTTAAATTAGCCTACACTTATGCAACTTATGCTAAGCAACAAGATTTCAGCCATTGAAACAGATTACCTACGAGGCCAGCAAGCTGCAGGGAAGGAGGAAATCTTTAATTATTGAAAATTACCTCCTGCTGGTGACATCATCACTCTTCCACAGGCTTAACTTAATGAACAAGATTTCATGCAATAAATCTGCACTGCAGTTACAGACATAATCAGATCCTCTTTATTGTCCCATGTATATGTTTTGTGAAAAGAGGATGTTCTCAAAAACCGTTGAAGTCGCTGATGTCTTCCTAAGATTTTTATTTATTTATTTAGAATTCTGAACTACCGTATTTTTGCTCCATAAGACGCACTCTCCCCCTCCAAAAAAAGTGGGGGAGAAGTGTGTGCATCTTATGGAGCAAATACTGTAAAAAAAAGTTTAAAGTGACAGAAGAAGAAAGAGAGATGGAGCGGCATGAGATAGAGGAATGGATCGAGGAGGGGAAGTAGGAGAAGAGAGGGAGGAAACACGAGGGGGAGACAAGGGGGATAAATATTTTTTTACGAGAGAGGAGGGAGGACAGTTGGACGAAATGGAAAGAGTGGTATTAAGGAAAGACGTATGGGATCGAAAGTGATCCGGAGGAAGAAAAGGTGTTTAGAGTGCTGGAAAAAAAGTTGTTAAAACTGCCCGCCTGGATCCTCAAAGCTCCACCCCCTTGCCTTTTTCAAGGCAGCCGCGAGGTCCGTCCCACGTGGCCGCCCAATGGCCAGTCAAACAGTGAAGCTTTCCCTATGAAGGAGGAAGTCATGAGGGGTGAGCGACCTTATATGCCCTCCAGTTCATCCCTCCTCTTAAGCTGCTCTTACGAGACAGCCTCATGGTCTCACAATGCCATCCAGGGAAGCAGGGCAAAGGCATGCCTCGCTGCTGGATCCCTGGCCCCACAGCGACATCATCGTTCTCACGAGAGAGGAGGGAGGACAGTTGAAAGAAATGGAAAGGGTGTTAAGGAAAGACGTATGGGAGGAAAGTGATCCGGGGGAAGAAAAGGTGCTTAGAGTGCCAGAAAAGGAGGGGAAATCACACCACCACCTGACTCCCCCCTCCACGCACACACCCCTTCACCCCCGATGGTGCCTCAAATGTAAGGTGTGTCTTATAGTCAAATGCATCTTATGGAGCGAAAAATGCGGTACACATCTCTGAAGGAAGGTACTGACAAATCCTTTCAGAACAACAGCTTTGTGTTCTGTGAAGTTCAGGCAATTGAGAGCATTTGTCATTACTTGTTTTGTTGCGACACATATACTGAAACCAGTGGGAAACTGAGTAATTGAAATTGAACAAGATGAATTTTGATCTTAGTTCAAAAAATTTCTCTCCTGTGCAGCCAAGATAAATTTCTTACATTGGGAGTCGCAAAATTTGCTATAACAGCACAAAGACTGAAACACTTTAAAATTTGTTGCAAAAAGGCAATCAGACTGATTGTATCAGCCCTGTTTGGATTCAGATCACTTCAACAGGGACAAAGTGATACTGGCTGTGGAAAGAAAGTCCCATATTGTGTCTTGAAGAAGTTGCTGAAGAGTTCTACATGAGGAAAAACCTAAAATGAGAGAACTGTGGTGGTAGCTGGACTTTGCTTCTTGGTAGCTTCTAGTGTGGAGCAAAGATACCAGTGGCACTTACATAGCGCTTTTGTGGAAGGGACACATTATTTTGCCACATATTATCTAATGGAAAGCAAGTTTTTGAAAGAGTTTTGGTTGATGGTTGTTGTGGGTTTTTCGGGCTTTTTGGCCGTGTTCTGAAGGTTGTTCTTCCTAACGTTTCGCCAGTCTCTGTGGCTGGCATCTTCAGAGTTTTGATTGAATCTGGGGGACAACTTTGTGTTTAATGCAGCTTCTTCCCTCTTCCATTCTACCCATTGAAATTCCAGTCCCTCATTCCTAAGCTTATTTCAGTCTAGTATGAGACTAGATACGGTATCCCATTCTGATTTTTTATGTACTGTAATACTGAACATATTTCTGCTAGGACATGCTATGTCATATCAAATGTGTTGTTGAATTTAGAATCTTTAAATCCTGTATACCTAAATCCCTCTATTTCTTTTTTCAGACTTACATTGGTTCTATTGTTGCCTCAGTTAACCCTTATAAAACCATTCCGGGCCTGTATGACCGCACCACAGTGGAGCGATATAGTCGGCATCACTTAGGAGAAATTTCACCTCATATTTTCGCTGTTGCCAATGAGTGCTACCGCTGCCTATGGAAACGTCATGACAACCAATGCGTTCTCATCAGGTATCTGAATACTGGTTTAATTATTCCTGCCTTTGTTGTAAAGTTTGCCTATTTGGGGGTTGGGCACAGAAAATGTGAGAAAGGAAAGGGGTGCTTTAATTCTTCATTCTCTTAATATTTGTGGACATGAGGCTTCACTATATGTTCCCAAACTCTTTTATGGAAAAGTGGTCTCAGTGAATGTATGTCCTATGATAATTTAATAAAAATGCATACACATTTGCACTTCACATTCTTTGATTCTGGTGTATTTACATTGACCTCATTTCATCCTGAATATTCTTTTTTCCCCACTGGGTTGTGTCTTGCTGTCCTGAGGATTAATTTGTCGCCACCACTCTTGAATAAACACGTCCATCAAAAAAAGAGCTTTAGGAAGTTCATAAATTTAAAAATGCAGCAATAATTAAAGCTCTTGAATGTGCTGGTTAGTTTAGTCTGCTTCACTGAGCTTTTTAGTTTGCTTTGTCGTTTTACTTAAAAGTGCTTTCATTTAATGAGGACAAAATAGTTTCCATCTTTATCCTTGCACTCCATTGGTATTCTAACTGGTGCCAGTTTGGTGACTGTATTAATGGAAAGCAGCACTAATATTGTAACACACTCTTCAAAGCATCTTTAGTCATACAAAAGATGAGTTTAGTACTTTGACATACATCCACCTCTAGTAAAAAGCAGGGTGGAGTGATACTACTGCATTCGTCCACTAGAGAAAATACTAATGCTACTAGGTATTAGTTTTTAGACTAACAATGATGACATGATTTGAAAGCCAGCAGCATCTTAGATTCAGAAATGTCATGTGCCCATGGGATTTCCAGTTTAGATACTGCTTTGCATATGTTAGACTCTAAATTTTTCAAAAGCACTTCCAAGAAAGAATGAAAACTTATGTGTGCAATTGACGGAATCACATGATACACTCCTTTAGATTGTAGGTGGGGAACCGCGTGTTGGACATTTTTTACTGACTCCCTCTAAATTCGTGGTTCCTAATCTCAGATCCTCAGATGTTCTTGGACTAAAACTCCCAGAAGCCTTCACGCTTGCTGTGCTGGCCAGGATTTCTGAGAATTGTAGTTAAGTACATCTGGGAACCCAAGACTGAGAACCACCGCTCTAAATAAAGATGATTCCTCAGCACAAAAACATGAGATGCAGCCTTCTGTTGCACACCCAAACTGAGCTGGTGGATTAGGCAGAGTGGGATAGCTGCTTCAGGCAGAGAGGCACTGGAATTTAGTTATACTGTATTTAAATTCTATTTTCAAATCCAGTCTAAATGTTTCCATCATAAACATTTTATTGCTATTTAATAACAGAAGATCATTCTGAAGTACAAACGATAACCTGTCCCACCAGAGTCCTCATCAAAGATTTATTAACATAATTTGACAAAAAAAAACCTGTTGTTTTGGGACCAAATTTTTAAAATAAATCTCATACTTTTCTTTGCACACCATAATGTAGCAAAGCAGAAGTGACAGATTCTGGAGGGGGAGGGAACAAAAATTTCTTTGTGGGAATTCATTGGGATCCAAAAATGCTCCACAAATTACATTCTATTTTTCTTTGATCTGATTTTATGTTACTTTTGTTTGACCTGTTTTGGTGGAACATACTTGTTTGGACATAAGGTAACAATTTGGTATTCTTGCTGGGGTCAGAAACTACCCCCGAACTCTGCAGGGTTTTTTTTTTAAATCCTTGTGTATGAAGGTTAAATGTTCTGCTCATTTTATATTTTCTACATGGGCATTGAAACTTCAGTATGAATAATATAAAAATAAATAATATAAATGCATTAATATAAATAATATGAATCCCACACCGCTTGGGAATGATACCTGTGTTTAAACCACTTCTTTGATCAGTATATTGTTTAAGATAAAACTACTAGAGAGATTTAAAACAACAAAATACTTCCTGTGGGGGAAAAAAAAACATAAATTTAATACACATGGACCATTTTCAGCACCCTGGAGCTGATGGCAAACTTGAATACAAAGTTTAAAATAAGATGAGATCCATTCGTCTGCACTTACAGGACTTCTGGAAAACTTTTTGAATGATTCCATTTGTTTCTCTGCATTGAGCTAACATGCCACTGAAGCCTCAGTGCCTGCTTCTTGTAACTTCTGGTGTGGGCAGTTTTTAAAAATGAACAAACTGTGAATTGGGAGAGGAGGCATCCATCCAAAGTCACAGCAGTGAGGTTTTAAAAAAAAATTAATTGCCCGGACCAAATAAATTAAAGTTAAGCATGTTGGTACAAAGAAAAGGCGTAACAGAAGTGGGATAGGTTCCTGCCAGAAAGACATGGGTGTGGGACAAGATCCTTGGAATTGCCAAATATATATGGTTTCTCATCACAGACACAGCAGGAAATCTTTTCAACATTAGTCATTTTTTTTTGGCAATGACTGATTAAAGTTTCTGTGTTGCCTTATTTGTTGTGTGCCAGTTACAGTAGGTACTGTATATCTCAACAGTCTGTTGTGTTTGTTCTGTGACTACTATAACAGTAATTAATCATCGACTGTATTTTTGGCTGTTTGACTTTTAATCAAATGTGTATCTCTGTTCCTGATGTGTTTGATTATTTTTTATTTTTACTGTGCTGATGATAAAAAAGCCAGTGCATTATAGAGAATAGAGTGTTGGCCTGAGACTCAGCAAATCTGGTTTCAAATCTCCACTTGGCTGTCAAACGCACTGGCCAAAATCTGGTTGCTTATCATAGTAAATCACACTGCAGTAGGACCAATATATCAATGGGGATTTGCTGAGTCAACTCCTCTGTAACCTCCATTGATTCCAGCGAACCTACTCTAACTGCGACCTACTGTAGCATAATACGTCACAACTGGAGTTGGCATATTTACTGTATATCAATGGAGCTTGTGGAGCAAATAATTCACTAAATCCCCATTTATGGATTATGGCCAACGGGTAACCTTGAGCCAGTTATAGTTTCTCAGACTTGAGTTGTGTCATAGGGTTGTTGTGAGGATCAAAAAGAGAAGATGAGAGCCAGGTATATTTCTGTGAGCTCAATGGGTGAAAGGGATATAAATATAACAAACAAATGTATAATGGCCAAATTCTTATTGGCATTGATGCACAGTTAATGTAACTTGTTGTGGCTAATAGTGGTTAATGGACAGAGTGCCAGAGTGCTTCTCCTTTGGATGCCTTGACATCTACTGATTGTGCAACTGATGCTTGCCCTGGCATCGTGACAGGTTCAAATAGCTGTGACAGTTTATGCAAACTGTACACGAACACCAGTAGGATTCTGGCAAATAAATAAACACCTGCAATAAGGCCAGCATGAACTGCTAGATAGGTCAGTGGTTTAGGTCTCAGGCTGTGGAGCCAGAGTTTGGGAGTTTGATTCTCTACTGTTATTCTTTGACAGGAGCTGCAATTGATTATCCATATATGCCTTTCAGTTCTGCAGTACCAAGACTGTTGTTGTTGTTTCAATTATTATTCAAAAACACCAGGTGGAGTCAATCAAAATTATAAAAACATTGACTGGTATTATATAACAGATACAAGTTTTAACCAGAAACCTAAGTATCTGTGAAATACTGGCGCAGTATGTATGATGTTCCTAATATTGCCATTTTTGTAGCTCTGGTGGTGTTATTTCTGAGATCTGCAGCTGCTTATAATACTGTGTGAAATGTCTTGATATTGTTCCCAAAGCCCCAATGACTACAGGGACCACTGAAGTGTATTTGCTGGCTCCCTCTAGTTGATTGCCACGTCTCTGTATTTTGTTAGTTTTTCCAATTCTTTATTTTCAACTCTGGCATCATCATCATCATCATCATCATCATCATCATCATCATCATCAATAATAATAATAATAATAATAATAATAATAATAATAATAATAATAATAATAATAATAATAATAATAATAATAATAATAGAGGCTGCCTCTTCTAAACTGGGGAGGGAGTTTGGACACCTAAAATCCTGTTTGTGAGCTGATTCTTCTCATCTTTCTTTCCCTCTTGACTGTGGCAGAGATGTTGAAAGAATCTTTGGATTAATAAGAAGCTGGAAATAGGTGTGGTAAGGTATTTGAGGATATATGTGGCTGGGCAGTTAACTAGTAAAGAGGCATAACTCTTTATGCATGCAATGCACCTGTTACAAGAACTGCACTGGCTACCAGTCCGTTTCCAGGCCCAATTCATAGTGCTGGTCCATTATCTATAAAGCCCTATACAGCTGGGGTCCAGGCTACCTGAAGGACTTTATCTCCCTATATGCGCCTTCTCAGTGATCAGCAGAGGAAGCCCTCCTCTCGGTCCCATTGCCAGCACAAGCACAGCTGATGGGGACACGGGAGAGGGCCTTCTCTGTGGCAGCTCCCAGGCTATGGAACGCTCTCCCTCCGGAGATCAGGATGGCCCTTTCCCTTTTATCCTTCTGAAAAAAACTAAATACTTGATCTCTTTAGGCAGGCTGTTAACAATTACAACTGAATCCCTGAACCCCATTTCAGCAGAAATGTTAATATTTTAAGCACAGCTGATGGGGACACGGGAGAGGGCCTTCTCTGTGGCAGCTCCCAGGCTATGGAACGCTCTCCCTCCGGAGATCAGGATGGCCCTTTCCCTTTTATCCTTCTGAAAAAAACTAAATACTTGATCTCTTTAGGCAGGCTGTTAACAATTACAACTGAATCCCTGAAGCCCATTTCAGCAGAAATGTTAATATTTTTTATGTTTTAATCTTTTAATTGTATTTTAAATCATATATTGTTTAATTTATTTTTTAATATTAAATGTATTGTGTTTTTAAATTGTTTGAATTTTAATGTTGTTAGCCACCTTGGGTCCCATGTTGGGAGAAATGCAGTATATAAATAAAACTAATAAATAATACATAGATAAACTAACCCTTTCCCAGCATGCTGTTTTCTAGTCCTCAGGCTTCCATCATCAAGTTGTTTGTCACCTTTCACTGGTTTTTAAAAGGCTTCTTTGCCCTCAGAATGCTGATGCAGGCAGATGATAAGGGAAACAAGGAGGAGGAGGATTAAGCACACTCCCATTCTCAGTTTAAATTCTGCTCTCTTTCAGTGTATGCTCTGCCTTTAAAATGGATTTATTTGGCATATCTGTATCCCAGTTTTGTTCCATCACGGACTGTTTTAAAACAGTGTACCCAACGTTTTCAACATTGTTTTCCATTTAGGCACTGACTGGAGCCAGAATCTGCTTGGTGTCCACAGAGACTTGTTGTGCTCTCACACCATGTGGGGTATAACTATACTGTACTTGTACTTTGCTACTCTGAGCTTAATGAAGCAAAGTAACACATTAGTGATGTGTTTTAAGGCAGCAAGTGCCCTCTAGTGGATTTTCTCATTACATACTGCTTGCTGTGGATTTAGAGTGGACTGATTTGGCACTCTGACGTACAGTGACTGTTTATAATGGATCGTGAGATTATAATTATTTTACAAATTCTGTTTTCTTCAGACAGACAGACGGTTAGGAGAGTGGTCCGACCATATAAGGTTATGTGATTCAAACAAATACGCATTTGTTCTGATGGTGACTAAGGCATGAAATTGAGCTGGTAAACCAAGAACGTCCTAGTTCCTTTCATGTTTCCACCATGAGTTATCGTGATGCCCTTAGGCAAATCATTGTTCTGTCTCAGCTCCTATCTGCAGGATGGGACTTGCTTTAATACTGGGGGTATGATGCAGATTTGTTGTGCCTTATTTTGCAGCCTTTCCCAAGCATCCTGTGCTGCCATAGGCTTTGCCATGTGGCTTCATGACGGTGAAGATTTGATAGCTTCTGTCTCTTTTTCTGGGCCTTTGTCTTCCATGGGGTGGCAAATCTGTAAAGAGACACCTTTCATATTTTCTATTTATCTCATCAAAAACTATTTTGCCTTCCTGGCATCTGGCCTACTTTTTGGACTTTCTGCTTTCTGTAGAACTGAAAAACACAACTTGTTTGAAACTTCTCAATGATCCAGTAAAGAGATTGCCTACCTAAAACTTTGCTTTTGTGAACGAGTCACACAGCAATTTTTAATCTATTCTCCAATCTGGTGTACTCCAGACTGCAGCTCCCATCAGCCTCAGGCAATGTGGACAATAAGAGTTGTGATCCAAAAAAAAACCCTGCGGAGCCCCAGGTTGGGATAGGGTGGTTAAGTATGGATGGCTTACTCAGGATGTTTGAAATGCTTCAGAAATTCTAAAATGCTAAACGAAGACTATATTAGGGCTGTACACATTTTGGCCATGCATGGCAGCAAACAGATGTGTGTCTTGTGTAACAGCTGCCTGAAAAAACTGGGAGAAATAAAGAAAAAGAGCTACAGTGTGTGGGTGCATGTGGATATCGCTCCCCGTGCTTTATTCCAGCACAATATGAACCAGTTGTTATTTTGGAAAAGGTGTTTTTTACTTCTGGGTGCTGCTAGCGCTTCTTAAAAGTAGTCGTTTTGTGGCAATGTATGCCAATGGCTTTCCCACCTGATCATTAGAACTGTATTTCTTGTTGGTGCTAGCAACTGTAGGTGCAATGGGGAGTCTAAGAGTATGAATACACCAGTGTGAGGCAAATACTGAGTTTTAAACAAATCAAATTATTTCCCTGCTATTGGCTTTCAAAGGAGCTAAGATTATGAGGGAATGTAGTTAGGTATCTGGCTGCAGAGTCAGAGGTTTGGAGTTTGGTTCCCCACTTTGCTTCTCAGGAATAGAGTCTGCCTGTATAAGCCTTGGGCAAGTTGCACATTCCCACGGTGTCCTCCAGAAGAAGAGAATGGTAAACTACTTCTGAGTATTCCCTACCTAGAAAACCCTGGAAAGGTTTACGGAACCTTTGACAGAATTGACTTGACAGCTTACAACTATTATTATTAGCAAGAGGGAATTACTTGTTTGTGAGGTCATTGTGCCTACGATGTGAAATTCATCCGATACTGGATCATTGCCTTTCATTTGTTTGTCAGGCCTCAAAGCTTAGGAGAAACACAATGCGGCATCTTGTTTGAACAGCCATCCAACTTTCCTTGGAGAGATTTATTCCGGCAGACTAAGATAAAAGGATGAATTCGGTGAACTCATTCAAGCTTTATATCTTATCTGTCATGCAAGATTTAGAACCCTGAGATTGAACTAGAAGGTGTTTGAAGTATGTTGCTTTGTTGCAGTTTTCAACTTTTGAGGGAGGTGTTTGGTGCTCTGCAACTGTGTGCAGTGACATGATGGGGAAGTGCGTTCTATAGGATATAATAGCATCAGGGCTGAGTGTCACTTGCTTAAGAAAAGGCTAAGGCTTTCATGCCCTGATATAGAAATCTTCATATTTGAAGGCCAAGGATATCACATGCTGAACTATTGTATTCCAACTGTTTGAGGAGCTAGAGATTGCATGTTTCTAAATGGATGACCTCTTCTGTTCTGGAGACAGAACTTGGAAAAATAAATTATTTGAACTATAGCTTCCCATATTGCCTCCAGTCAGCATAGACAGCTTTTTCAGACCCTGACCTACAGTATACATCCACACTGAGGGCTGATTTATGTTAGAAATGATTATGGGAGGAGTTATTCTTGCCCCAAATGCTGTTGATTTTACATGATTCAGCCTTGTCTGCTCTTGTGGCTAGGCCCTCTCTTAGCTTTGCTGCTGAACAGTAACGGGTCCAATATTTTGTAAGGAAACTGTTATAATGCCTCTTTGTTGTGAAATCATAGCATAACCATAAGGGTACATTTTAGCCGAGTCTTGGTCTTCTGTCACTCTGGGCAATTTGTTTTACTTATACTGGCCAAAACCCATTGCATAAATTATGCCTGTGTAATGGAGATGACATCGCCAGCAGAGGGAATTTGCTGCTAATTGAAGAGTTCTTGTTTCTGTTTTGAGGGTTGCATGATTCACATTCAGTCACGGTGTGCGAGTCATGTGAACTCTGGGAGCAAAAAACTCTTCAGTTAGCAGCAGTCTTCCCCTGCTGGAAACAGTCAAGGAGGGAGAAATTGCAGATAATTAAAGAGATTCTGCTTTCGTCTTCGGGCTCATGTGACTTGCATGCAGGACAGCTTGCACATGAAGCAAACACTCTTTAATTAGTGGCAATCTCTCCTGGCTGGTGACATCATCTCCCTTATGTTAGCATAATACTATGTATATGGAACAGCAGTTGGACTACTGTTTTCCAAGTCATAATTGAGTTATTGCTAACTTATTCTTAACAGTAAATAGTAAATAACTAATTTCATGTGCTTTAAAATTTTAGTTATTTTTATTTTTGTGGTGGTTTTATTTTTTTATTTCGAAAAATAATTATTGGATTCCCCCCCCAAAAAAACTTAAACATCTTTTTTTTTAACAATACAAAAGCACATTACAGAGTACAAAATGACTGCTATTCACGGACCAAAAGACTTTTTTTCAGAAAGAAGTCATTTACCAGACTTTAGTATGTTGTCATAAATTTGCAAGGTATTTGGCACAGGGAGCTCAATGTAGTCTTGTTTCCCTTTTATTTTCCAGTGGAGAAAGTGGTGCGGGTAAAACAGAGAGCACAAAACTGATTCTCAAGTTTTTGTCAGCTGTGAGCCAACATTCACTGGAGCTATCTCATAAAGAGAAGACATCTAGTGTTGAACAAGCCATTTTGGAGAGCAGGTATTGTATCATTGCCTCCCCTCTGTTCTTTTCTAGAGGACAAGAAGGAAAAGAACTTGAACAGAAAATTACTGTGCTTAGCTATTAGAAAACAAAGCTATTGTAGAATCAAGAATAAATAAATACCACAAAAGGATATGAAGTTTTCTAAATTGTAGTTGTTATTTTAAATAAGCACCTTATTTCCTTATTCAGCACAGAGGTGCAGATGCCTAGATCTGCCAAATAAATCAAATCTTTTAAAACACAGAGAAATTGTTTTTATTTTTTCAACATTTTTACTTAGAATTCTAAAATATGACCTTGAATTGTAGTACAAGCTCTTCCGACCAGAAATGTTCCACTACAGCTCCCCAGCAAACATAACAATCAAGGCATCAAGTGTAATCCAAATTCTGTATTCTTACAAATCAAGGAAGGCAGCAAAATTTAGGTGGTGAAATAGTACTATGTGATCTCCAGAATATCATAAATATGTGCCTAAAGGGTGCCCAGAATTGCATGAGAATGTAAGGGCAAGCCTGCTGAGTCCAACCGGAAGCCCATCTAGCTCAGGATACTGTTTCTGTAGTGGCCAAACTAACTGATTCTGAAAAGCCTAGAGGGAGGTCAGTAGCCTCTTATGCAATTATTGTTCTCCAGCTGGTATTCAGAGCCCTTTGTGTATCCGTTGCAGAGACATTTGAATGAAAATATAATTTATGAATGCCACAAAATTGTTGCAGGCATTTATGATGCAGACATACACTTTAGGGAGGTAGGAATAGGTGTGGCACTCTTCTTGAATGTGCAGTGTGGAAAAATGGCTAGGATTATTTGTTGATAATAAACCAAAGTGTTATCCCTTTCCAGATCTGTAGGGTAAGGAGCAGTGCAAGAAAGAATCACATGGTGTTTTTCAGATATTGGGTTATGTTAATATGTAAGCTTAAGTAAGTCATTTTTCTCTGAAAATTTGTGTTGTAGTTGCGGATGTCATAGATGAAGGAACATGGAAAAAGAGAGAGGTTAAAGACGTGACAAACGTCAAGTAGATCCAACACCCTTGGACAATAGAAGAATACCTGCTCACACTTATTGAAGTGCTGGTTAGTTCAGTGGTTTATGTATCTGGCTGTAGAGCCAGATGTTGAGAGATATATTCTCCACTATGCCTCCTGGGCAGGGGTTAAACTCAATGATACATAAGGTCCCTTCTAACTCTGCAGTTCTAGAATTATTAATGATAGCATTTCAATATTTGCTAGTCAGGGATGCATGAGTGCCCAAGATAAGGTTAGCATGAAAAGGTGAGGAAAAGGATATGGTCAGATTTTAGAGCCCAATAAAACTATAAGTGGAAAGAATGAAATCTTCTTTACTTTATTGCATGAGAGGTGATAAACTGCATCTCGCTGAAGCTTTGTTGACGTAGCAAGTTGTCTCCAGAGACATTCTTATTGTTAGTTCTGAATCTTCAGCCAAACGTGGGTTTTATTACAGTGAGTGATTAGGGTTAAGGTAGGTGTACAAATTGTACTTAGAGTTTTGTTTTGTTTTTTGCACCAGGTTTTATTAAAACATGGCTTAATGTAAACTCTATGGCACTCACCAGTTAAGGATTTTTATCAATTTCCTTTCCAAGGGCAGGATACAGGGTGTCTACCTATACTAAAGATTTGTTCATAGTGTTGAATGGAAGGCTCATAATCCATTAATAAGAAGATAAGTAGGACAGAGAAGTAATGTATTTACACACATCCTTAACCTGTTAAAAAGAGAGATGTCTGTATATCAGCAGAGGAGAAAACATTAGCATACTGTAGATATTGCTTTTTTTTCAGGCATCACTATGTAGTCAAGAATTAGCAGCACTAAGCCTAAGATGCAGGATAAAACATTAGGGATGGGACATATGCATCCAATCTGCCTAGACCTCACTTGACATAAAACTAGCAACATTTTTTTGTTTCTAATCTTTTTATTTTACATTAAGATAATTTTGGGTCTATGCAGTTTGTTTGTTTTTAAAAAAAACACTCATGTAAAATTTGCTCTGCCAAGTAAAGTTTGCAGTCCTTGCAATCACTGTTTTTATAGTGATTTCTCTTTCTTTGACCTAGAACATTTATCTTGAAGAACAGGGAAGGCACTATGCAAGAAAGTGTTAATAAGTTATCTCTGTCTGATGTTTTAGCTATTGTAAACTGCACAGAGTAGTGCCTCAGCACTAATGGAAATGGTGTACATGTTAAATAAATAAATAAATAATAAAATCTATTTGAGTAGTGCCTCAGCACTAATGGAAGTGGTGTACATGTTAAATAAATAAATAATAAAATCTATTGTACTTTTCCACAGCCCAATAATGGAAGCTTTTGGCAATGCAAAAACTGTTTACAACAACAACTCAAGTCGCTTCGGGAAGTTCATTCAGCTTAACTTCTGTCAGAAAGGCAACATTCAGGGAGGAAAAATTGTAGATTGTATCCTTTGTTTTCTCTGATGGCCTTTGTATTATATTATGATTATAATATATTGTGCATATTTTTCTATGGTGAACAAAAATGGATATGCCCTATCTTTCTGCATATATTCCATGATTTCACATCTTTTGGGCCTGGACATGTGACACAGTCGCCAAAAATTTAGTTTGCCATAGTAGTGCTTTTTAATTGTACACAAATTGAGAACAAAATGATCAGATGGCAAAATTCTCACTCTCTGACATTCTAAAATATACTTTTAAGAAACTGATATATAAAAAAGGTCTTATTTTTCTATATGTACATAAAATAAAAATGTTCCTAAATCATGCAGGCTGAGAAATTATTATACAGGACAATGTGATTTTCCACCTTATTCAGCTGAGACATTTTGTTCCTTGACCTGTCTACCTGCTACGTGCTAAAGATTTATTAGAAAAAGTAAGTCAATATTTTTTATTTCCTTTTTTAAAATTTGACTTTTTTGTAGATCTCAGTTATGCTATAAAGAACATATCATATGTTTTCTGTCATAGAATCGAGTAGTAAGGCAAAATCCAGGAGAGAGAAATTATCACATATTCTATGCCCTGCTGGCAGGGATCGAGGAAGAAAAGAAAGGTGAGACTGGAGCTGTTGCCTGATAGAGATGTAATGCCTCAACAGACACATGCTTCTGGATTCCTACAGTTACATCTGCATAAACCAACTTACTGTAGTCTACCAGGGCAGGAAAGCCTTGGCCTTCCAGATGTTTTCACCTGTAACTGCCATCTGCTCCACCCATCATGACCAGATCATCTGGCAGACCCAAGTGTTTCTCACTCCTGGTATAGAGGAAAGGTTGTATGGTTTGTACCTAATGGTGTGTCCTAGCCAGATTAGCTTCCATTCTGTTCTATTCTTGTTTTTGGCAAAGGTATTGCCTCACTGAAGAGACAGTAACTTCAGTTTGATTCCCTGTTATAGAAGGCAGCTTCAACATCCTATCTGCATCCTTCTGCAGTCCCCTTCACCCTAGCCATTGAGCCGTCTTCAGTGTTTTCCTTTCATCTGTGTATCTGCCTGTTGCTCAGTCTCAATTCTGTTCTGTGATTCATTCCTAAGAGACTACTTACCCTCCATTTTAAAAAAAATTGATAGATAGTCTAATAAAGTTATCTGTGCAAGTGTGAATATAGACCCGCCCATCTGTGCACACATTTGGTACTTCTTTCAAGAAAAAACAGGAAAACCAAGCTTACCCGTATTTTTTGCTCCATAAGACGCACCTTTCCATAAGACACACCAATTTTTTAGGAGAAGAAAACAGGAAAATATAATGTTTTCTTCGCTCCATAAGACGCAAAGACTTTTTTGTGGGGAAAAAGTGTGTCTTATGGTGCGAAAAATACGGTAATTTCTCCCCCTACCCATTGTCTGCTGTCCTATTAATTATGAGAAATTGGAGCAGTAGAGATGGGCACAAACTGCTGGTTCAGTGGTTCGTGCTGGTTCTTCTTCTTCATCATCATCATCATTCATTCATTCATTCATTTATTTATTTATTTATTTATTTATTTAGCCAAACAAGTGTTTGATGCTTCCTAGCCCTGTCTTCTCGAGCGGGCACCCACTCAGATGCAGTGCCTCATCTTCCCCACACTGTCTCCTCCAGGCGCTGCCTCATGAGTGGGTGCCTACTGGAACAGGCGGGGATGGGAAGCACCAAATGCCTCTTCAGCTGGCAAACGAACTGGCACAAACTGCTGAACTGGCAGTTCGTGCCCATCTCTATGGAACATAGGATAGTGGATAGCATGAAGTGTTGCACAGGGACAGTGAAAGCAGGATAGGATATATCTGTAGGTGTTGAAGGAAGCGAGGAGTGCTGTAAGTGTAGATATATTGTCTAAGCACCTACTTGATAAACGAGATGTGTGTCCAGTCCCAATAAGGGCACACAAAGAGTTGTTTCTGGTGTCTAATCACAATGGCCAGGTTCTCTGCCTCTGGCATATTTGCTGAATCTGCGCCAGTTATTTTTCTGTGGAGCACAAAAGATTTTAATACTCAGTGTGGGTGCATTTGTGCAAACATTCTTTTTTCATTATTGCTATTACCTGCTAAAATTATTTATTCCTGATCTTTAAACGGATAAGAAAATCCATAAACAAATTGAAAACTTGATGGGTAATGTTTTGTGCTACTTCTTTCGTGTAGTATTGCAAAACATTTCAGCAAATTCTCATTTCCGTATCTTAAACACAATCTCATGATACTTCTCACCCTCCCCCCCAGATGCATTTTACCTATCTGTACCAGAGAACTATCACTACCTGAACCAGTCTGGATGTGTAGCGGACAAGACAATCAATGACAAAGAATCATTCAAAGAAGTCATTGTAAGTTTGGCAAATCCCTTCTTTCTAGCATGGATGGGGAATCTTTGTCCACAGGCACCAAACCTCCAAGAACGTAGACTCAGGAAAAGCGAATAGGTACCTGCAGTCCCTTATTGGCTCCAAGGTGGAAGTGTTCCTTTTTGCCCATGATTTAATACTGTGTTTCAGAGAAGTAGGGAGGGTCAGGACAACAACTGGCTTTGCAATTTAAAAAACGCAAGAAAAGTCAATAGCAGAGAATCTGAAAGCAAGAGAGAGAGAAAGAGAGAGAGAGGAGGGGCAATGCTGAGGAGCATTGGTTCTGGGCTCCAGTTGACTTTTTCTGTGATGGCTCAATGGCCCTCCTTACATTCCAACAACCTTGCTTTATAAATAAATAACACATGCCTCAAATAATTTTGAGATACTAATCACTTTGTTGCTGAGGCTGCCAGAAGCAAGGACTTAGTCCTGTAAACAACCGACTGTAACCACAGCAGTACTGAGAGACCGTTTGTGCCATAATCAGAATTACATGGTAAAAGCTCCCCCACCCCACTCTTGTTCTTCTCTTCCTCTAAATCTTCTTCATCTGCCCAGCCACCTCTAATGTGACTGGCAAGAAATAAGGTCAGGCTACAGGCCGCTAATGCCATGCCTTTCCAGTCTACTAGACTGGAAAACTAGCAGGTTATCCCCTTACACTCCCAATCTGTTAAAATCACAACTATGAGAACAGATATTATCATCCTGACAACAGGAGATAGCCCTGGAGAGATTGGAAGGTCTCTTTGCACAGCTAGAAATGATGGATTGTGTAAAACAGCTGAAAGCTTGAATCATAATGTGTGTTTGCTTCCAGATGGCAATGGAAGTGATGCAGTTTACCACTGAAGAAGTGCGAGATGTTCTCCGGCTGCTTGCTGGCATTTTGCACCTTGGCAACATTGAATTTATTACTGCTGGAGGAGCACAGGTGTCCTTCAAAACAGGTGAAAAGGATGACTACTTCCTGTGTATAATATTAATTTATTAATTTATTAGGAACATCTCTCTCTTACTTTTCTGGTTCAAAATAAGACAATTTGCACAGTAGATTTAAATGCAACAGTCACATTCTTCTTCAAGCCCCAAATCTACTTTGGTATTTATTGACTTAGAAAATAAATCCAGATCATAAGCTTTAATATAGTGTTGAGTAAAAAAAAATTCAGTTATCCAAAGGGAAATGAACATTTATGTGTGATTCAGTTATCTTATAGGTAATCATTTCTACAAAGTTAGTTGTAGGTTTTATCTGTCATCCCAAGTGATATTGCTGTACTTGCCAGTATCTGTTTCTATTGCTTTATTTTATTTATCATCTCTAATTTTTACACTAGCTCTGGGTAGATCCGCAGAGTTACTTGGGCTGGACTCAACGCAATTAACTGAAGCATTGACACAGAGGTCAATGATACTCAGGGGAGAAGAAATTTTAACACCTCTCAGTGTACAACAGGTAAACTGTGGTTTATTTTGAACATATTCAGTAGCTGTGTCATCTGTAGATGTCTGAAGGTACTTGGCTTCATCATTGTGCTACAGCTTTCTGACCTGTAGAAGGCTTTGTGAATACTGGAAACCCAATGTGACCAGAGAAGCCAGTGCCCCCCCCTTCTTAATTTTTTTATTTTTTTAAATTTTATTTTAATTTTCAATTTTTAATTTTTTTTAATTTTTTTGCTTTGGGGTATAGGCTCTACTTAAGAGATCCCTAGAATAACATGGCTCACATCACTAAACAAATTGACTTACAGTGTCTCCTTAATGTGGCCTATGAGGTTAGTGGTCATTCAGCTAACAATGTAAGGAAGTGAACCCAAAAAGTGTTGAGACACCAGCATAGTTACTAGAATGCTAAAATACTTGAAGTAATTTTCAAAGAAAGAGTCATATTAGTCTATGTAAACATATCAGACAAAAAACTTAATAAATTAAGAGAGAGAGAGAGAGAGACAGAGACAGAAACATTGAGACATTTTAATGACTCATATATTAATGTGAGCTTTCATGGATCAAAGCCAATTCCTCAGACATAAGAGCGAAACTATGTAATGTCATATTTATTTTGCTTGATATATATGAAGTGAGGTTTCAGTTCAGTGTTGGAAATAGGCTGGTGGCCAAAAGAGCAGAGATCCGCATGCATCTGTGGGGAAATACAACTCTGTCATGTATGGAAGAAGGTTATTCTCCTCATGGGAGAAATAGAAGTATACCGTATTTTTCTGTGTATGCTATGTTACTTTTTCCTAAAGTCATTACAGTAAAAATTGAGGAGCATCTTATACACGGAAGTAAGCTGAGAACACTGAGAGAACAAAAGGGCCCATACTTTGGATATGTAAACAGGCTTGTTTAAATAATGAGGCTTAGCTTCTTAGAGTCAGGAGGCTTCGCTTCTTCCAATCACGAGCCATATGGAACTGATGTCAGCTGATGCTGAACAAACCAGTTTGAACACACTTCATTCAAGGTGGAGCTTCAACAGGGACTCAAAATGTCCGAGCCTTCTGAGCCCAGAGGCTGAATCCTCAAAGCTAGGTTTTTTTAACTGGGGGGTTAGAAAAGTGTGTGGGGGGGAGGTTCTTATAAACAGAAAAATATGGTACATTTTCCCTTTTTTTGAAGGAGCCTTGAAATTGTTGAATGTAATGTCAGAGGTGTTTATTTATACAGTAAGATAGTTCTAAATCAGAAGAGGAAAAGGCACTTCCCATCTTATTGAAAACCGTGTTCTATTTTACATGGCTTTCCAGATAATTCTTTTGTATTAGCCATCAATCCTGGCTTTAAATGTTCATGGTATTAGTTCATCTTCTGATTTCTGTTATGCCTCTACATTTCTATATAGAGTTTAGTGAACTACAACAAGATACTTCCAAGTTCATGTTGAAAGAACACATTGTTTTAGCACTACATTTGAAAGGAGATGGGAGTCTGTTTTGTGGAAGGCAGTGAAACATGAATATGTGTGTACATATATATTATGATATGCTTGTCATGCTCTGTGCCTTGTACTTTCTTTTTTAATTGCAGGAAAGTCACTGTGTCAGAAATCTGTTTCATGGTGAAAACTTATCTCTGTATTACTTTTCAACAGGCAATAGATAGCAGAGATTCAGTAGCTATGGCACTTTATTCCCAATGTTTTACCTGGATTATTAAAAAAATAAACAGCCGAATAAAAGGCAAAGATGACTTCAAGTCCATTGGAATTTTAGACATCTTTGGGTTTGAGAATTTTGAGGTATGTTCTAAACATTTTGTTCATTTCACATGTTTCCATGTTTTAAAATTTAGCAGCTTACTCCTGTGTGATTTAGAATTGTCTGTTTCTAAGCGAGTTATTTTTCCTGTTTGTCTCTTTTATTTCTCTAGGTTAATCGTTTTGAGCAGTTCAATATTAACTATGCAAATGAAAAACTTCAGGAATATTTCAACAAGCACATTTTTTCCTTGGAGCAGTTGGAGTACAGCAGGTAAGACCTGCAAAAGGTCTTCCCCACTCCCTGGCATAGATGTTAAAAAGTGGAGACATTTGTTTGTTTTCAGTGTTGATGTTAAATGTCATGTAAGACATTTTAGAGCACCGTAAGCTTCATTTTTATCATTATTTTCAGATAACTTTTCTAGAGGTCAAGATATTAGTATCTGCTTTTACTAACCATAATAAATTTTGTCTCTTTGGTTCTATTAGAGAAGGACTTCTGTGGGAAGACATCGATTGGATAGATAATGGGGAGTGTTTAGATCTTATTGAAAAGGTAATATATATGTGATTCTGCATGGTGCACAATATTTATGCAGGAATCAATGGTTTGAAAAAACATTGTACTTGAATAACACCCCAGTTACCTCCTGGATAATAATGTCAATAAGCAGTAATCAAATTTGTAGTTTAAATAAGGCTGTATTCGGGCTGAAACTGAGGAATTCATGTGCGCAAACCATGACCAAGTTATTTGTATTAGATATTATCAAAAATAATTATGAAGTAAGGTGTAAATGATTCATCTTATCATAGCTGGATGCCCTAAGCTAACATAAGTAGATTGCATGTGCAGGCATAACCAAGCTGTACAGATCATTTTTCAGCAGTTAACTAAATCTTATGGATTACTCATGTTATAAATTCCAGCCATCTCCAGTTTTAGAAAAGAAAACTGCAGTACTGTACTGGGAGGAGCAAGTTATCATGAATGAAACAGTTGATGTCAATAAGCTGGGTATTATACTATTCAGTGTGCAAGAAAGAAGATAATAATTTTAAAAAGTTGGAATTCTATGAACAAGCAACCTCAAAAGTACAGAAAGTTCAAAAATTGCAAAGTACCACATATTAAAGCAAGAAATTAAAAGAATATGGAAACAAAGTCATCCTCTTTCCCATAATGATTTCAGCACCCAGAGTTATTCCAAAATCTTTGGTTACCAATATAATACAATAGTTGCCAATTTGCTTTGTGACATTCAAACAATGATTTTACTAACAGTTTGTCTTAGCTACAAATTTTTAGGGCTTGACTCCTGAGTTTAGATTTGACCCTTGAATCCTCCCCCTGTGTCAGCAGTACTGAGAAATTAGACATATGTTTATGATTATGATGATGTGAGAGCCGTGTGTATTTTGCATGCTACAGGAATTGCGAAGTCAAAACTAACTCATAAAAAATTGTGATTTGTTCATGTCATAACTGTCAACGTCAGACATCCAAGTAGTTCTTGTCTTGCCTTTTGTTGCCACAAAAGAACGTATTTCTGCATCAATGTTATCTTCTTCCCAGTGCATTGTAACTTAAGGTTGCCTGAACAATCACAATCAGACAGCATTCACAGCCTACACTGAGACTGCTGCTTGCCTGTTCATATTCTTTTAGCTCATGCCCATCAACAAGTGAGGTCTGTCACTTAATTATAATCTGCCCTGTGATTTTATTTCTTCCAGTGCCATTGTAGCTGATTTCAAGATGCTGTTCTCCCTATGCTTCCCCCTACCCTTCGTTTTTAAATAGATATTTTAAATTAATATTTGACTTTAAGCAAATTCTATTCAGGTTCAATCCCTTTACAGTGTACAGCCCATCCAGAATGCCAAGGTCTCTTCTCATTCAGCATGTGCTGTTTGTTTCAAAAAGATTGTCTGTACCGAAAGTATACAAGCAGCAGCCTGATTTGATGGAACTGCCAGAGTAGGTTGATGCATTTCTAGCAGATGTGGAGCTGTTGCTAAAAATGGCTACATACAGATGCTTCCAAGAACTGTGTGACATGACATGTTCAGACAGACACGCATGCGCGTGCACACATGCACATGCACAAAAAAGAGGCAGTACCAAACAATTCATGCTTCCTTAATGTTGTTTTATTTTCTTGTGCCTTAATTGTCTAGAAACTTGGTTTATTAGCACTTATCAATGAAGAAAGCCATTTCCCTCAAGCTACTGACAGCACCCTGTTGGCAAAGTTACACATTCAGCATGCTGTAAGTAATACTGTTGTCTTTTGTTTATGGGTAGAGGAGAATTTTGTTTTGTCAACTTTTTTAAGTGAACTTACATAATTTACTGGTTATCCACTATTTTGATTGTAACATAGGTATGTAGAAGTTCGTGCATTTTTTCGTACTTTGCAATGCAGTTGTCAATTTTTTAAAAATGAATGCAATAATGTATATATTAGAATGTATCTTATTCATGATGTTGTTGTCTTTAAAAAACTGTGATTTCATCGGTATGGATAGGCTGTCTACCAATGCAGATAATATCTATTTCAGATAGTTGTGTTAATAGTTGCTGTGGACTATCAAGACGGCATTGATCCATTCTGTCTTGATATCCCTTCTAAATTGCACTGAGGAGCTGTTACTTTGAACATGCATGAAAGGGAAAAGTTATAAAACGGCTCAATGTTGTTGTTTTCAATGTAGTTTTACAAACTAGTTTTAAGATGTGAGCAAACTGTTATTTGTATATATTTTATACTTACTATTATTTAAACTGGTATTACTACATCATAATTAGGTATTATCATGTAATTTTTTAGTCTTTTACAGAGCCCTTTCCTGTAAGTATCACTGTTGCTCTGGTGAATTTGTCACCTGGTTACCAGCATTCTGGTGATGAGCCTTTCTGTTCTTTCTGTTCTTGTCTATGAGTCCAGCCCAGGTTGTAGCAAAAATTAGGAATCCATTCAAACTTGAGAGGGAAAGAAAAAGATCCAACTAAGAGAGAGGCACAGAGCCAGGCAGAAAGGCAACACAGGATGAAG